AAGAGAGAGAGAGACTCTACTTACAGTAGAGTTGGAGTATTAAAAGTCTTTGCTACGTTGCTGAATTTCACTTGCATTTTGGCCTGGAGAATCTTGGAGAATACTTTTCTTCGGCTCTGGAGAACTCTGGAGAGAACTTCGGCAGAGAACTGATAATGCTTCTTCTCAGTCCTGGAGAACTGATTTTTCAGCCTCTGACATGGGTTTTTAAACTCTATTTTCCTTGTGTTAATTCGACCCACTAAATAGGACACAGCATCACCCACAAGTAGTCCTGTGCTCTTATTGGGTACTTTATGGGAATTCCCGGGCTAAACCAGAACCAAAACTCTCAAGTAATTGGTCATAGATAAGTGGTGTTAGCCGGCCACCTATTCACTTGTACTGCTAGACCCATGTGCTATAACTAATACCACCTCAAAGTGCTGATATGACACACCAAATCTAAACTTTTCTGCAGCTTTCCTAGTTCTAAGAGGGCGAGGTCAACAATTCTTCAAACTGTCACATGTACTGGTGTCTACATCCTGTTTCTATGCAGCAGTTCTTACTAACTCTGCTGCTGACCTTGGTCACTGGTTTCCAAGCTCGCCTCTCAAACTTATTTCGGGTAATGCACGTGTCTTGTTGCTTGTTTCTAGGTGATGCTTCTTACATAACAAAGTTCCTGTTTATCAATTCTGAAGGCTTATTTCGTAACACAGGCATCCTCTTGTCGTCTCTTTTTCTTTTTATATCTATCCTTGACTACTTGCTTATATTAAAAACCCTTAAGTTTTATTATATGTATTTTCAACTAATAAAACTCTTGAAGCAATTCGTAAAATTTCTTCAAAAATTTCAAGTTGCTTCAGTACCACCAAGAACTTTGGAAATCAACCTAGACAGAAGATATTGGTATTGGGCAGAGGGTGAAACAGAAGAAGCCTGCCAGAACATATTTGATGACCACCTGTCATCATAACCACAGATGATTCTTACATCTGTTATGATCCCATATACCTTACTGTATAATACAGTAGATACAAAAAATTACAACCCTGCAAATTTTGTAGCTTTAAAAATACATTATATAAAAAAGACACAAACATCAAATATTAACTTATATACAATAATTTACAAAAGATACAATAAAAAATCACTCTTTCTTGGTAGATCCACATAGGAACTGTCTCTCCAATTCAAATACAATCAATTCAAACACGTAGTATGTCGAAATTCAGCTTCAGGTGGTGAATTCAAAGTTCCAAGTCACAAATGTTTTCACTGTTCAAACGTCCACTGTGCCAAAACTCGTCGATATTTTAAAAACAGTTTTCAAACATTCTCAAAAGTAACAAAGCTTACAAAAGTTACAAAAAGTTAAAACTAATTCATACACTTAAGAATTTAGAGTCGAAGCAAATAAGCTAATGTTATTGTTAGATTATAACAAAAATCTACGATAAATATCAAGGTTCACAAACTATTCCCAGTTGATACATCATACAGAAATATTTGTTTCAAACAACCGCTCGTGAACTGAATTGAACTAAACTAAACCCAAACACTAAAACTTAAAAAACCTGTCTTTAATGGAAACTTGAGACCTTTTATCTAAATACCAAATAACAGTTACGCAACACGTGCATGACATATCTCTCTTGATAAAAAAAAACGTTAGTTAAGTGAACGTAATTAATCAGGTGATAAACCTATGATGCCTCACATCAAAGCTTCACTAAAATATTACAAAAATACGGCATCATAACACGCCACAGATAACCAGTGAGCTGGTTGGGCCTTTATTATCTCGAGGAGCAACAACAACATTCTGCATAAGGCTGATGGAAGATTCAACTTCAAGTTTCCCACAAGCAGCACAAGGACAGAGCTGGAAGCAATAAAGCTGGATTGCTGAAGACGATAAAATGTAAATAGTTAGTGGCACAAATATAATATTTGCAACCGACTCACAGGCTTTACTGCATAAATTTCGGAACGGTTTGCTTTGAATAAATGACAGTGTTTGTTTTGAATTTTGCGCAAAGCTACATGAGGGCTATCTGCGCTAACCATCCCTAATTTAGCAGTGTAAGACTAGAGGGAAGGCAGCTAGTCATCACCACCCACTGCCAACTCTTGGGCTAGTCTTTTACCAACGAATAGTGGGATTGACCATCACATTATAACGCCCACACGGCTGAAAGGGCGAGCATGTTTGGTGTGACGGGATTCGAACCCGCGACTCTCAGATTGCGAGACGAGCACCTGGCCATGCCAGAATGGATGACAGAAGGCAAAAGTTTGTTTGTTTGTTTTTAATTTCGCACAAAGCTACATGAGGGCTATCTGCTATAGCCGTCCCTAATTTAGCAGTGTAAAACTAGAGGGAAGGCAGCTAGTCATCACCACCCACCGCCAACTCTTGGATTACTCTTTTACCAACGAATAGTGGCGTTGACCATCACATTATAACACCCCACATGGCTGAAAGGGCGAACATGTTTGGTGGGATGGGGATTCCAACCCACAGATTACGAGTTTAGCTCCCTAACCACCTGGCCATGCCCGCCACAAAGGCAAAAGAACTGGATGTATGTATAAGACCACGCAGGGGTAAAGCTAAACTGAGGAAGCTGAAAAGCTTGCAAGAAAAAATATATAAGCTGGCACTACTCTACTAGCATGATCTTGATCTCCTCCTCTGCACTAGTAAGACGAGAACAGCAACCATGGAAGGTCTTCATCAACATTCAGATTGAATGAGACAGCTGGATAACAAAGTGCTGTATGGAAAACTAGGAAAATCAAAGATGGGGAATAATAAGGCAGTGTGTATTAACTACAGTTGAATTGTGTTGTGGCTTTTGAATACTATCTACTGTACTGGTTTTTGTTGTTTGCATATCCTTAGTATTGTTACGTCTCTGGTCGTTAGTTTACTTTTCTTAGTTAGTAAAAATTATTTCCGAAGAAACTTTAGCGATACAAGTCCTTTCTTAAAAAAACTAGTTTATTCTTTCTCAATACAACTTTGCAATACACTTAATTTCCACAGTCACGCTATAACTTAAACAAACGATATATTTGACAACGAACGAACGATTCACGTGCTTGGCTCAATTGTCGTCTGTATCTCTGTCTGCAATTCAATTCCGAGTGTTGCCGTCACTTCTTGGCGGTCTTATATACAAAAATACCGCATATCTAGTAAACACTCGAGGCTTCACGAAGGGACATGAATTTTCTAGAAGCTCATGACGTGTTACTAGCGTCACGTGACTTCCGCTGTCTTACCAGTATATTTTGACATAGGTAAATAGGGCTGTAATTTTCTTCCTGTTTATTCTTAGTGTTTATCTTCTTAATCAACTTTTTTCGGTATTCATTGTTGAGGATCTTATTAGCTATCACGTCGAGGAATGAAGAGTTTATTATATTTTTTACTCCCTTTGAGAGTTGTACATGTAAGAAGTCTTAGAAAAAGTTTACTAACTAGCACGCCATACTAGTGTTTATGTTGTCTACATTATTTATTTTTGTATTGATTTTAGCAGGCCATACTGATTTTTATGTTGTACATATTATTAATTTTTATAGTGATTTTAGCATGCCATTGTTTGTTTTTAATTATGCACAAAGCTACACAAGGGCTATCTGTACTCTGCCCACCACGGATATCGAAACCCGGTTTCTAGCGTTATAAGTTCGCAGGCATACCGCTGTGTCATACTGCCATACTAGTAGGCCATACTGACTTTTATTTTGTACACTTTATTTATTTATTTTTGTGTTGATTTTATAGTAGGTGGTACTGATTTTTAGGTTGTGCATATTATTCATTTTTATTGTGATTTTAGTGGGCCGCACCGATTTTCATGTTATGCACATTATTTTGTTTTTTTGCATTGATTTTAGCAGGCCATACTAATTTTCATGTTGTGTACATTATTTATTTTTTAGATTGATTTGAGTAAAGCCATACAGACTTTTATGCTGTGTAAATTATTTATTTTGTGTGTATTAATTTCAGCTCCAAAGAATGGGAACAGCAGTTGAAAGACCTTTTTCGTGGAAGTAAGATAGTAAGAAGAAGAACTCGTCATCCATTACCTCCTGAAACATCCTTTGGTTCACCATCTCTTAGAGCTGAAGTAGAAAATCTTCATGCTCTCTGTGACTATCGTTTAGATGTAGAAGATGTAACGGATGCTCTGAAGGTATATTTCACATGTGTATTTTAACGAAAAATGGCACATCCTTGAACTTCTTTCCTTACAATTATTTGAATAATTTATACTACCTATTGATATGTAACCACGAATTTTTATTTCATTTTATTATTTTGTCTATAAAGCCATTGCTAATAAATTAGAGGAAAAAAATGTGTATTATGTAAATGAAATAATACTTGTCATCAGTAGTACTATACTTACTTAGAAAATTATGACACAGTATATTTTGGTTAAATGTCGATGTTCCAGTTTATAATGAAAGCCTGGAAAATGGTCTGTCAAATAGTTAATGTAATATACACTACCGTTATACATATTTTGTAATTAGTTAAGAATTAAAGTACTAAGCAGCAACTGTAATATCATAAAAACATATAGTCTAGTCTTTTAGTGTTATTATGTATTGTTACGACAGCGGAAGTCACGTGAACCTGGTAACACGTAATGAGTATCTAGAAAGATCGAGGAACTTGTCGAAAGTCCTAGGTTTGCTAGACTCGCGTTCTTATAGTATATAAGCCGGCAAATAAAGTGACGGCAACGACTGGATAGCAGACAGAGAGATTGAAGACATAGACGGACGATTGAGTCAAGCGCGGCAGTAAGTAAAGTGCGTGAATCGTTCGTTGAGAATTATAGCGTATGTTTAAGTTAAACTGACTGTGGAAATGAAGTGTATTGTAAAGTTGAATTGAGAAAGAATAAACTAGTTTTATTTGAGAAAGGACTTGTATCGCTGAAGTTCTTCGGAAAGATTTACTACGGAAAATTAACAAACGAACAGAGACGTAACAGTATGTATCGTAGCCAAAGGTCTCGATATGCAGCACTTGGCACCTTCTGATACACTATGACGTGCTTAATTGTTTTAAGTAAATTTATCAAAATATTCAGTTTCTCAATAACGGACAAAATTTAATTTAGAATTACATATAGATTTTGAATAACATGTGACAAAAGCTCAACTGACCAGTTAAAGACTCGCAAGTCCACAAACTTTTTTTATCATCTGATGTTATATCGATACCACTAGACTAAAAGGTATTGTTACGTCTCCGTTCGTTAGTTAATTTTCCGTAACTTCGTTTAGCGACACAAGTCCTTTCTTAATAAAACTGGTTTATTCTTTCTGAATTAAACTTTGCGATACACTTAATTTCAACAGTCGCGCTATAACAAATGTCTCACGTGCTCGACTTCATTAATACTCAGTTCAATAACACAC